AGTCCTTACTTGTAAAATGATTTCATGTTGATAAAGTAACTAAGGATAACAGAGCTCCTTTCAGTGGACTCCCACAATGTCAAGTCTATGCTCATTCAAACTTGGGCTCTGTACGAAAGAATCCTCTTATGTGAGGACTGAGTGTTCTATTTGTCCTGAAATAATTCTCATCAGCTGGTACCCAGTATGCATTCAAATTTCATCTGCAGAAGAGAGATAGCATTTTGTAACCACAAAGGACTTGAAGGTAATTTGATTAAGACTGACTCTCAGCTTTTCGACTCAGAGCTTTTCCATAGGAAACGGATTATTTGAAAGAAGACAGTATATAATAGCAGTAACAAAATTTAGAATAGAGAAATACTATAAAGTTTTTTATAAAGGTAAAAACCTGAACTAAGGGCTTCCTTAGAAATACATCTCAAGACAAATACAGCAGATTTCATGAAAAAAGTTTACCAAAAAATTTTATAAATCATTTATGAAATGTAAGATTAGATGTTAAGTAAACATATGATTTTATACCTAATTGCAAATGATTCTGAAAAGAGATAAAATGTGTTCAGTTTGACTGATGTTTAAAGTCAGGTGCTCTTGGGTATAGGATTCCTTTCTCCAAAAACAAATTTATTATGTTTAGGACATACAAAAATGATTATGAATTACTTTTAAATTTAAAAATGAAGCATTTTACATTAAATAGTTTAAGTGACCCTTTAAAAATAAATTGCTTTAATGCTCTCTGACATATGCTTAAACAGGTATAATTGGAAAGTAAATAATAAATCCTACTCATAATACAAATACTAAACTCCTAGCCAAAATCCTGAAAAATATACACTGTCCAGCCTACCTGGTCTATTCTGGATGTTCCGGCTGCAGTGCACCAACTATCTTGGAGTGAATCTGAGCCCCAAGCTGGCAACTGCAAACTAGATCTCACCTTCAATAGCATAGAAGTTTTCATCAGAAATAAGCAGTTCTCTTCCCCATACCCACCCACAAAAAAAAAAAAAAAGAAGAATGAAAAGAAAAAAACAATCAAAGCTTTTTCTATCTTGTATCCTTGTTCCATCCTCTAACAGTTTTAAGGGAAAAATATCTCATTTTAAATAGTCATAAGGGGACTTTATTAACCTATAATATCAGCAAAATATTAAAAGCCCTGAAAAAAATGTGTAATCATTATAAGTATTAGGCCACATCTAGAAAAAAAAAAAGTCACTGAACCAGTGAACAAATTTTAATTCTATGTCAAAAGTCCTAATGTTATTTTTTCATGATCGTAGCTGTACTAACTACATTTGAATATACATACAGCTGACCATAGTTATATTTATGCACAACTACGAAACATTTTAGTTCAGCTATACTGGAGGAGAAACTCATTTTGGTGGCCTGTTAAAGATTAATGAATTAAGGCATTCTTAAGGAGCTGCCAAGTAAGAGCTTCAATATGAATTTAAGAAATACAGCAGGGTTTTCTACACTTTATGATGCTTATTTTCTATTATGTGTTTAGAGATTTTTTTTAGTCTCAATTTTTTGTATAGGTATTTTATCCTTTGATAATCAAATTATATGCTTAAAAATTAGAGCTTTCTCTTTTTTAATCTGTTAATTTTACCATACTATTACTACTGCCACCCCCAATTTCCTATTTTGAAAGATTAACATTAGAAATAAGGCCATTTACATACCATTCTTACCTGTAAGGGTAAGAGCGTATTACTATTGTTGTCTGTTCTGAACACATTATCTTCAATCCAAGATTTTGGAGTCAGTGATGGAGTAGAGCGAGTAAATTTCGGCGGTGCTATGACATTACCAGAAAACGGTTTCTTCAATGGAGATATCTGATTCATAGTTCCTGGAATTCCCATGTTTCCAGTTCTACGATGATCTCTGCCATGCATTGCTCCCCACGACATACTTCCAGTGCCCCAGCCACTGCTTTGATGGTTGCTCCAAGGAGATTGTTTCAGAAGAGGCTGGGGAAAATACATCTATTTAAATTATAAGCATTTAAAGAGTTTATAATTCAAATTCAAATTTAGGCCTGAGCTAAGAATTTATATGATCTTAAAAAAAATGAAATATATAAAGGCAACAGAATATATTATAACTAGTTTATAAAAAGTAATAAGCTTGACATCTTGCTTATGAAAACATATTCATTTAATGCTGAGTTTTCATACTCTTGTCTACTATAAATTATAATGAATCAAGCAGATATTTCATGACACTCATTAAAATAGAGCCATGAAGTTACTTTTTTTTTCCCCTTTAGAGAGAACTGTATAAATGACAGATATGAAGAAAAAAATACTTTAAAATTGAAATTAAATTTGAAGATCCTTACAGATGTAACCTACACTATGATCTTAAAGCAACCATGTTCCGCTAAGCATAGAACTAAAAATATGATCGTTATCAATTAAAATATACCAATCATATGAGTGAAATATCTAGACTTTAGGTTTCTAAAACAAACTGTACCACTGCAAAAGTGGATAATAACATTTGGTGTTATTCTACTGCACAGATTAAAAATGCCTTTTGAGATAGGGAAAATATAGCAAATACGTCTTTTTTTTGCACTGCTTATTCAACTTTTAAGATATTTTATTCCGGTTTTAATGTAGTTTCTTTTAAATTTTCATAGTTTTTACTTCACTTAATTATCTATGAACTGTTAAATAATTATCTGATATTACCCATAAGTGGATACACTAAGATAAACAACTATATACTTTGATCATTCTAGTAAAGATCTTAGTAATACAAGTCTCCATGAACTTTATTCATTTCCAAAAGTAAAGTAATATTCCAAACTCTAACCAATAGCAAGAAAAGTTAAGTCATCAAAGAATGAAAAATTCACCAAGAGGCTACAACTGTAGATTTTGAAAAGTATTAATTGCTAGCAATTTTAGAGTCAATAAGCTTATAATTTAATAATTTTGTGCCAACATTTAGCCAAAGGGAGTATGGGTCGTGCACTTAACTATAAGTCAATAAGTTATTTTAAGTCAAGCACTCTTAATATTAAACCTTATTTTTTTTCTGCAAACCTGGTCTGTAGTGCCTATTACTTATTAAAAATGTTTTTTAATGCTAATATAATCATGAATATATACTACCCTTTCCCCCTCTATGTAGTTCAAAAGGATAGCTAAGGGACCACGGACATATTCCATTCTTCAGGACCTTACTTTCATCACTGATGCAGTGTTCAAAGTTCTCTTCCAGTGACCTAAAATTCCATATAACAGCTGTGACCTCTTACACTCCATTGCAAGACCCATCTTTTGACAAAAAGCAGATTATAGTTAAATATGGATCTTGGTATATGGTCTTCTAATGATATACCAAGGCCTTAAGAATACAAAAATACCTACAGATAATTTTCTGTGGCAAGTTTCCAGTTAAAAAACGAAGACCCTGACACCCAAAAGACAGTTGCTCAAGATTATGTAAATCATGGAAAAGGGGAATACTATTTCAAAATTAACTATTTTCAACCCTTATAGGCCACATTCTCCTTCCTCAGGAAGAAACCAGTGATTCAACAAAAACTGTTGTTATTCTGGTTAATTTAAATAAACTGTTAACTGTTATTTTGGTTAAATTAGATAGTATTCACCTTTTTAAAAGGGTAACCCTGAAAAACTTTAACTGGGCAATGGAAAAAGTTATATGAGTACGTAAGTAGTGGTTAAGGTCCAATCTTGCTTCCCTCTCAACCTTTAATCACGAAATTGACCTTAGACAGAATGATCACTATAATAAATGCTGACTAGATCAAAAAAGAACAAAATACTCCTTCAATGTCAATTAACCAAACCAGCGGCCACTCAAACGTTGTTTTGAGAGGATAACAAAACAGACCTTGAATCTGAAAGGACCCGGATGAATTAAAAAAACCTGCCTGCTGTGATTTCATAATTATACTACCCACTTAAAATACACACACCCTATCATTCAAAAGAAGATTAAGGCCACCAAAAAAAAAAGAGAGAAAAAAGAAAAAAAAGAGAAAAAGTGGAAGTCTTCTCTTCAAGGTAACACACAAATAGCAGACTCGTTTCGTTTTAAAACCTACAAAATAGTACCCAAACATTAAAAAGCACAGAAAGTAAAACCGTCTTGGAGCATCTCAGTCTTAACCATCTGACAACTCGGGGGACCGACCCACGTCGGGAGGCAGGTGGGCAGGAGGAGCGCGGCCGGGACGCTCCTCGCCGACCCTGGTCCGGGTAGGTTGTGCGGGCGGCAACTGCCTCGCCCGCGACAGGTCTCGCCCGCCAATTAAGAATGACACAAACTCAAAAGAAAAAAAGCTTTTCCGCCCGTTCGTTCATTGGACGACGGCGAAAGGTCACGGGCTGACCACACGCACAGTCTCCGGTAATCATTCTCCTCCTTCCCGGGTTCGCTTCCCACGGCCGCTCCCCCCCCTCCCCGAGGCCGCCGCCCGAGCCCGCTGGTCCCGCGTCCCCGACCCCAGGTCCTCCGACCCCCGAACCCCGGCCGTCTCGCCGTGTCTCCGGGGCTCGAGGAAGCCGGACGGCCGCTCACCAGGCCAGGGGGCCCCGGCCGGGCCCCGGGGTCGCCCCGTACGAGGTACGAGAGGGACGTCGCACCCAGCCGCCCCCCGCCCCGGTGCCATTCCGCCCCTGCCCTAGACCCACCGCCACGCCGGGGCTTTCGAGGGGGCGCCCGGCCGGGGCCACTTCCAGCCGGACCCGACTCTGGAGCGCCACAGCCCACGGTGGCCACAGCCCTCACGCCCCGCCAGGGTCTGGTGTCCCGAGTCCCGTCGCCCTTTTACGCCCTCCGGGTCCTACTCAGTCGGGCGAGGAGCCCTCGCAGCTGCCCCTCGGGGCCGCGCCGGGCCGAGACCGGTCTCCGGCCGGCCCCGCCCGCGGTCTCCCCGGCCTCGCGGCGCAGCCGGGCCGTCGCCCGCCGTACCTGGTGGTGGTTGTAGGAGTTCCTCTGCTGCAAGAAGGCGGCAGCGGCCGCCTGGTGCTGCTGCTGGAGCTGCGGGCTGACGGGTGACCTCCGGCTCTGAGGCTGCTGCGGCGCCGCGGGCGGCGGGGGCTGCTGCTGCTGAGGTAAATTCATGGCGGGCGGCGGTGGCGGGGGCACGGCGGCCGCCGAGAAGGGGCCCCCGAAGCCGCCGCCGCCCCCGCCGCCGCCGCCCGCCGGCACGCTGAGCCCAGCACAGCCGTGCGGGGACACGGGTGAGAAGCTCGGGAAGAAGGCCGGGTTCATGGACGACGGCAGCCCGGGGTAGAAGCCGTTCTCCGAATCGGGGCTGGGCGGCGGCATGGCGCTGAGCGAGCCGCCGCCGCCGCCACCCGGGGTGGCGGCCGACGAACCCGGCTGCGGCTGCGGCGGCTGCTGGGGCGGAGGCGGCGGCTGCTGCTGGGGCGGCGGCGGCTGGGGCTGGGGCTGGGGCTGGGGCGGCGGCGACGCGGTCTGCACCGACCAGGGGGTGCCGAAGCCGGGCAGCGGCGGCGGCGGCGACGCGGAGCCGCCTCCCCCTCCGCCGCCGGGGGGCCCCCCGCCCCCGCTGCCGCCGCCGCCGCCGCCGCCGCCCGGGTGCGGAAGGTCCGGGCTCTGCAGGCTGCTGAAGGCGCCCGCGCCGAGAGCCCCGCCAGGCAGGAGGTTACTGGGACTGTTGAGCAGAGGATGGTTGGGGGACTCCATGGAGCCCGGCGCGGGGTTCACCGGCGGCGTCGAGGGGGCCAAGCCCGCATTGGGGGGCTCGGCGGCGCTGCCCTCGCCCACGGCCGGGGTCTTGCGAGGGCTGCCCGCGCCTCCGTGGCGGCGCCGCGGGGCTGCAGGCGGCGAAGGCTGGAGCTGCGGGAGCGGGGGCAGGTCGGCCGGGCGCTGCTGCGGAGCGAAGTCCTGCGGCGGGAGGTGCTGCGGGTGCGGGAGGTTGAACTGCTGCTGTTGTTGCTGCTGTTGCGGCTGGCGCTGGGCGAGCTGCGCCGGCTGGAGGAGCTGGCTGGGCGGCGGCGGCGGCGAGCTGAACCGGCCGGGGCAGTGGAGCGGCGGCGGCGGCTTCGAGTCCGGAGGGTGGGGAAGGCGGGGAGGGCTGAACTCTTTCCTCTTCTGGCTGCTCAGCTGCTGCTGCTGCCGCTTACTGAAGTCCTGCGGGGAGGAGGTGCGGCAGCAGCAGCAGGAGGAGGCGGAGGAGGAGGGGTGGTGCAGACTCGGTTTGAAGTCCTGGGAGGGGAGGAGGTGGGTCACACCCGCGTTCGTGCCGCCGCCGGGGTGGTGGTTGGGGAGTTTCTCCGTGGCCTCCGCCCCCGAGAGTGGCCGCGCCGGCTGCTGTGTCAGCCTCAGCAGCAGTTCATCCTGCATGGTCTGCTGATGCGCCGGGAACGGGGAGGAAGAGGAAGCGGTGGCGACCGAGCTGTCCGCGCCGCCGCAGCCGAAGGGGATAGGGAAGGGGGAGGCGGCCTCCGAGAAGCCGGTGACAGGCAACGGCGGCGGCGAGAGCGGGCCGAAAGGCGTGGTGGAGGGTGACGGGGCGGCGGCCGCCGCGGCTCCAGCGGCGTAGGGACGGTACGCCCCGCCGCTGAACAGGGACCCGGGACTGCTGCTTCGGAGCCGGGCGGTTTGCAGCACCCCAAACCCGAAGTCCCTCATTTATCAGGCCGGCGGCAGCGGGAGGAGACGCACCCCGTCCGCTGCCCCGCCTAAGAAGCCGCCGGATCTGGGGCGGTGCGGCCTTGGTGGAAGGAGGGGGAGTCAGTGAGAGAGGGACACCGTGACTGAGCCAGGGGCACCTACTTCGGCCCCGCCACCCCTCGCGGCAATGACCGCCACCTCCCGAGACCTGCTCGGGCGCAGCCGCCGCCGCCGCCGCCCTGGCCGCTTAAGAACCCCGGAACGTGCGTCAGCGCCACCTCACAATCGCACCGCCCCCCGCGGTGCGCCCCGGCACGCGCGGGCTCGACGCCGCGGCGCCCCCGCTGCCCCGCCCCCCGTCCTGCCCCTTATTAATATGCAGGCTCGGCCGGGGGCGCGCGAGCGCTCTTGGGAGGGCGGGAGAGCGCGGGCGCGAGCGGCGCGTCTCCTCGGGCTTCCCCTGCTCCCGGGGAAAGGAGAGGCCGGTTGAGCCGGTGGGCGGCCGAAGAGGCCTGTGCGCCCGGCGCGCGCGCACGAGGGCGAGCACGCGCGGGGGGCGCGGACGGTTACTGGGCAACCGCCCCTCCGGGCTCGGGGTCCTCGCTGAACCTGCAGCAGGTCGCACGCGGTACTTTCCCCCCGTCCAGTCGCCCTCGGGGCCCTGCCTCCTTGTCACCTCCGCTTCGTCTTCGGTCATAGGAGCCTTGGTCGCAGGGACAGGGGCTGCCCTAGGCGGCGCTGGCCCGCCGGGGAAACTGAGGCCGGTTAGTGGCTTTCAGTGTCGGCGGCCGCTCGTGTCCCGCAGCGCGAGGGAGCGGGGACCCGGCCCCTGCTGCCCTCCGGGGTCTGCGCGGGAGGCCTCTGGCCGACCCGCCTGTGCGGGGCTCCGCCAGCCTTGCTGACTGCGGAGCGCGTCACCCACGCCTCTGGCCCCACCATGGCCCAGACTCGCAGCCCTCCTCGTCGCCCTAGAAAGCACCTCCTTTTCGCTCCGGTTTCTGTTTTTAGCCTCTCGTGCCGAGTACTGTTATCCACCCTCCCGCAGCCGCGTGAAAGTATGTTCTGTAGGGTAAACACGAAGGCCCGGCCATATACCATACATTTTCACTTAAGTAATGAGGAACAAAGTCCCTGGAACCCACCGCGGCTCCGTGCGGTTATTTACACACAGACATGCATATAATAGGTTCCGAGGCGAGCTCCCTTGGTAACCCTGGGCCCGCTCCAAGTCCTCCTGTTTCAGAAAGCGTTTCGTGTGTTGCCGTCGGGACTACAGTGGGTGGGATTCCTCCCCACCACATTCATTCTGGCATCCCCGCCCCTTTCCCCTAGGGAGACTCTAATTTAAACATTTCCGAAGCTTTATGAATTTCCAAGGGAGAAAGATTTCTCACATCAGGGGGGAAAAGGAGGTTCTGACTCAGCAACAGACTTGTTGAGACTTGCAAAATGGAAGGGGAGAGAGAGCTTTCCATGGTAGAGCTCTTGTTGGAAGCAACAGAAGAGGAACTAAACCTGTGTATTTCCTAAAGAAACATTTTACATAGAGAAAAAATATATATATGAGGGTCTAGGTAAAGGAAAAGCAGAGGGATCCATACTAGTAAGATATGGATTTCATGTTCCTGTTTTGCAATTTTAACTTTTTCTTGGCGTTTAGAGAAGTGAAACTATTGAAAGAATCCTGGAATACAGGCTAATAATCTCAAAAGCAATTGAAAATGGGTTCAGATTCTATTTGATTTGGATTTACAACTGAACTAAGATTAAATATTATAAATGAGCACACTCTTACTGATGTAGGCAAGAGTGTACACTTTTATGAGTCCTCATTCTCTATTAGTTAAATTTCATCCCCTTTTTACTTTGCTTTTGTTACTTCAGTGTTTCAAATTTATATAAATCAGAATAAATACAGAAGAAAGAGAAAAACATTGCAAGGGGAAAATATATTCCATGTATAATATTTATGTTTAATATCCTGTCTAATAAACTAAGTTTGACATTGCCTTTAAATAAGGAAAAGGTACGTTTTAAAAACAAGTCATAAATCGTTTAGAAATCAGTGGGTACATAGAAAATTGGTTTGAGTTAATAATCTCAAAACCATTTTTAAAAATCAAGCAAAATATAAAACTGGAGAATTCCTTTTTTATTCTAAATTACAATGTCTAGAAGATAACCTGAGCTCTTTAGAATTAAAAATATAAATGGCCATTTTCACAGCACCTATTGACGTATTACTATTATTCATTAACCTATTTTGCACGGAAAATATTCAGCAACTGAGGCATATAAAGTATTGAAATGAAGAATTTTATTTCTAAGTAAAGTTATATTTGATTGGACTCATTTGCAGATCCAATGACAAATCTTGAAAATGTAGGCACGAAAGTTAGCTCAATCATCCATTAAAATTGCAGTTACTGCAATGTAAGAAGAGAGAGCATACGTTTAAAAGCTAAATGGTGCCATTCTGGGCTGAAGTTTGAATAAAAACAAGATTTCTTAGTGTGCTGAGACTGGTTTTGTTTTAGAGCATTTAGAGCTCTCCAAAAAGGAAAAAGCCATCAAGTTTGGTATTATGTAATAAGGTCAAACTCCATATTAAGTACACTAAATTCTGAAGTTCCACTGCCAGATCCTCTACTCACTGCTTTAACATCTGAGAGAGTGTTGTGAGGGTCCTGCTTTTTATAGCAAAGAAAGTTATATTCTGAAATCTAAAACTTTTAAGCTGGTGAGTGTCCCATCATTGAAAATATTCCAACATAAAGGTTTCCTATAGTGGAGGTAGGAGTGGGTGGGAGAAGAGGGGTTGTGGACCTCTAGCAGGTCTAAAGCCAAGTTCTTATGAATCTATATTCTAATCATATTTACATGAAAGTATGTTAATTGTATGGCCAGTAACTCGTTCCCTGAGTTTAATTTGACTGTCCCTTGTTCATTTCCTCCCACTGCCCTGGGCCAGTGTGTTTAAAAATATTTTGCTGCAACCCAGGACACACACATACACCTGAAATAAAGCTTTTATTAAGCAATTCTTACTCTTGATACATGCAACAAGCTCTTTTAAAATTTTACTTTTTAAAAGAATTGTTTTTTAAAAGAATTGATCACTGAATTGATCTCAAATCACTAAGCTGATTTTAAGACCTACATTTAGGTCATGAGCTGAAATTGAAGAACACTGTCATAGAAGACTATTTCACACTTTCTCTATTTTAAAGCCTCCTCACACCTTCTTCTGTCCTCACTCTCAGCTGCTGAGCTGGCTTTTCTATTTCACTGAGAAACTAGAAGCAGTTACAAATCTTCCCCAGGTCCTCACGGCTCCCTTTTCTAGTCACTGCCTCTGTCCCTGTCCACCTCACCTTCCTTCCTGGTGTGAGGAAGGCCTGTCCATGCCCCACCTTCCCGTCTAAGGCCAGCCCCTCTGCCGGTACACCAGCTCCTCCTCCCACTTGCTCAGGACACAGCTTCATAGACACTCCAAATTTAACAGGCCCCAAATTGAACTCCCCACCTTGTTAATTCCCATCTGGGTAAGCACCACTCCATTGCTGTAGTTGCTTAGGCCAAAAACCTTGGAGTCGTTCTTGACTTCTATTTTTGTTACAGGATATCCAAGCCATCATTACATACTGCTTTGTCCTACCTTTAATTTATAACCAGAATCCAACTACCTCTCACCACTCCCACCTCAAGCAACCTGGCCCAGGCCACCATTTCTTCTGCCCTGGATTGTTGCTCTCAACTCCTAACTAGTTTCCCAGCTTCTGATCTTGTCTACAGTCTATTCTCCATGAAGCAGCTGGAATGCTCCTTTCAGACAGATCTCATCATCTCCTCTGATGAAATACTTATCAGAATAAAAGTCAAAACATTTTCAATAACCGAAAGGTTCTTCATGTTTGCCTCCTGCCCCTACTAATCCCTCTGACAACTTCTTCCCCACAATAGAATGCTTATTTCTTTAATGTGCAAGGCCAAGTCGGCCCCAGGGACTTTGCTCGTGCAATTCCCATTGTCTGGAATACTTGTCCTCCTCAATACCAACAGGGCTCACTCTATCAGTTTTCTCATCTCTCTCTCTCACTTCTTTTAGGTCTCTGCTTAAGCTCACTCTTCTCAGTGATATCTTTCCTGCCCGCCATTGTAAAACAGCAGCACCCTCCCTCCATTCCAGCCTCCTTCTCCCCCTGTAGGTGGTTTGATTTTTCTCCATCTGGCCCACTATGTACTTAAATTGTTTATCTGTCCTCCCTATTAGTTCACAAGCTGCATAAGGGAAGATACATTGTTTTGTTCACAGTTGCATCCTCAGCAACTAGAACAATCCTGGCACACAGTAGGCACCCAAGAGTTGTCAAATGCATGCACTGAATGAAGGCATCGTGGAATTAACAAATAGCAGTTTTAAGAACTAATAGCTATAAATATACTGTAGTAATATGAGAGTCCATTTATCAGTTGCTTGTTTGTTGGCAAGAGCTATCCAAACACCACCCAGATGCTCTTAGGAATTATAAGCAAGGCAAGATAGTTACAGGCATTGACAGGATATGTGAGTGAGGACAGACAGGGCAGCTCAGGATTTTAACACAAGGGAATAGATAAACCTGGACTCCAAGAGGCAAGACTTCTGTCTTAGGAACATGGAGAAGGACGTAACCTCCAGCACAGGGATTCATTACAGGAACTTGAGCAAAGACAGGGAATCAAGACTCCAGCTCATAGAAACAGTGAACCAGTTTAGGCAGCATGGCAATGAGGCCAATTTGATGCTGAGCCTCCATGATGCTGGTTTCTTATTGCTGCCCAGCCTGTGAATGTGTCTGATCCCACAGGATGGGAAAGGATTAGTCATTATGTGGGAGCTCATTAGTCTTGGCTTTGGGTTGGAGGAAAAAATAGAACTTAAGGTCTAGATTGACCCTGTCCAACTTCAGGGTGCTTTATTGACACAGTATCCCAGTGTAACACCATCTTCAATTACTTCTGGTTCTTCCTCCACTTTTCTAAACCTTCCTTCATTCTCTCCTCTACCTTCCTCTCTCTTTACATATCCCTTTTATGTTGGAGTTCCTTAGCTTATATTCTTGGTCTCCTTCTCTACTTCTACATACTCTTTCTAAGTGACTTTATCCACTATCATGTGTTCAAATATCATCTGTCTCAGACCCATGAATTCAATGTGTCCATACCTGAACTTACCGTCTTCTCCCAAACCCACTCCTCCTCTTTGCTCCCTATCTGGCCGATGTCATCATCACAGAACCAGCTTCTCAAGCTGGAAACTTGTTATCCTCTTCTTCCCTCTCTCACCCTCCAAAAACAATTGCTTACTATACTCTGTCAGTTCTGCTGCAGAAATGTTTCTCAAAGGTAGACCCCTTAGCCCTTTCCCTTACCAAAGTCTTAGCTCTGGATTTTTTCTCTGTCCTGCTCTAGTGCACAGCCTCTTAGCTGGCTTCCCTGCCAGTTCCTCTTCTGAATCTCTTCCCTTTAATAGTCCCAAAAAAACAACTATGATCCTGTTACACTGTCCTGTCAATAATCACTCTCTAGCTTCCACAGTATCAAGTCCAAACTTGCTAGTAGACAGGACCCTTCAGAACTTATTTGCAACTTGCCACTTTGCCTTTATCACCTGTCGCTCTCCATATTACCAGATTCTCTGAATCAGCCATGTCATTTCATAATTCTGGGCCTTTGCACATGATGTTTCTAGTTCCTGGAATGCCTCTTTCCATCAGCTAATGCTTCCTTTCCTTTCAAGACCCAGTCCAAATGCCATAGCCTTTCCTGACTCCCCCTGGACAGTGAGTTGAGGCCTGTTCTACACTCTTAACATTGTCGTAATAATTTTTTTTACTGTTATAACGTGTCATATGGACATAACAAGGAAACAATTATGTTTCCTTGGCTATCTTCCCTTTTAGACTGTGAGTTGCTATAGGTCATGGTTTCCTTTATGTATCTCTGCATCTTTCTTGCCTGCCACAGTACCTGGAACATGGTTCCCAATAAATTTTTATTGATTATTAATTGCCCAATTAATACTGTAGGAAGGATGAAAGGAATGAGAGAAAGAAGAAAGGAAGGCAAAGAAGAGGGAGGGAGGGAGGGAAGGAGGAAAGTGTTTCCAAAGCACACTTAAAAGGAGATGTACCATTTTCTAGAAAACTGTAGCATTATTGAGTTATGGTTGCTGGAGGAACAAAAAATAAAACAAACAGACCATAACGCATAACAAAAAATCTCACTTCCCTTCCCAGCATTTTCTTTGATAATACTAAACTGAAAGCTCCATTCTTGTTATTACAATCTTCATTCTGCTTACTCTGCCATTCCATTTTGACAAAGGAAAGTATCTGGAATCTTCCCCTGATGATAAAGTGTAGCCCCCAAACACAATAAAAGGTTTTCCAGATGGTGTTACCCTTTTTGAAGCCTGGGAGATTTGTTATACAACTCCAGTGTTCCCGTATAGGGAAGAAGCCTTCAGTCTCTCCAGTAATTCCTGCCATGATGCTATTGGGCTGCTTATGTAGACTGACTTAATTGTTCCATTCTCACCTTTTATCTTTAGGCCTAGTCAACTTGATTAGATTACAAATCTTTGGAGACAGTGGCCTTATATATTTATTTTCCTAGTTCTTCTTGATTCTTTTATGTATCCATTAACTATCGAGTGCTTACTATGTGCCAGACACTGCCAGGCACTGGGGATACAGCTATGAACAAAACAGAAGACACATATATTATTCTGTGCATAGTCAGAGATACTGTAAATAAATGTTTGCTGTTGATACTAGTTATGATAATTCCCAGTCCTAATTATCTTGACAGATTCATGAACAGTGAGATTCGAGGCTGAAACTGACCTACTAAATTGGAGTCCTACATGCTGCAACATCGCCTTGCTAGTCTGGTCATGGGTGGAGCCCTGGGATGCATGTGGGATATAGAGGTAAGGAAAATTCATCAAGAAGGCAGAAGAAACCACACACTGAAACACATTGTAGTGCTGGCTTGCAATGAGATTTTCATTTGTTTTCTCCCATACTTGTCACAATATATTTTGTGAGTAGATAAAGCAAAAGTAAATAATATTTCTATTTTACAGTTGGAAAACCAAAACCCAGGAACAAAATAATTTGCCACAGGTAGTTTCCATAGCCTGGGCTTAATGCCTCCATCTCCCCATTTCTCAGTCTCCTGCTTCATTACTTGGACATAAGGCTATCACCTAAAATACGCAATATATTTGAGCAAAACAGAGCTACGGTGACAAGCCCTAAAAACACTGGTGGCTAGTCTACCAAAGGATAAAGGATGGAAAGGATAACCCTTGAAGCATTCTCAGTAACACCTAACTAAATGAATAACAATTGGCAGTAGTGACTCAGAGTGAAAGCATCTTATTTTCAAAATTCATATCCCATGAAAATTCAGAAATAGTCCTCAAATGTGCTTACTCATTCTTCTCCTATTAGAAGAATGAGGTCTGACAGTATATATTTGATACACTGCATTTAACTCTTTTCTTTCACATTCTGGAAAGCTAACTCTTTTTATTGATAAATTATTCTATGCAGAGAAAAGTGAAGATGCATTTTGACTAAATACTCAGCCTTTATATAGATGAAGGGTGTTACATCTATCAAATTTGATCTTAGAAGATTAAAATTTGTAAATGTTTATTTTGGAGACTATGAATGTTCAATAAAAAAGAAAAAGGAGGTTTACCTGGTAGGAGGCATTGATATCAGCCTTTGTGCAAAGGCTGATTAAGTGTAACGACGGTGGATGGAAAGCTTTCTGAAGAAAGGGGGTGGTTTGATTTTAGACCAGATTTGTACATCAACCTGATTGCTATCAATTTACTTTTACCCACTGTCTACTTTTTGTCTACATAGTAGTCTAGGAGTTTATGTCGCCTTGCTTCCAAGCTTCATTTATAAAGTGTACATCATTGTATTGAGTTTGCAGACCATATTCCAAAACAATACAAAGAAAAATAGATGTCAATTTTCAATAGAAAAATTATAGGTAAACTTTTCTGAAAAAAACTTTAGAAGATTTTCATAAAGGCATAAATCATTCATATGAAAATGCTTATGTTTTAGGCTGCTCCATATTTAACTCACATTAAGGGACATGGAGGAGGGGTATGTTGGACACAGTGGGGCCTATGGAGTCAGAGACCTGACGTTTAGTCCCAAGTCTTTCTGTTACTGTGTAACTTCAGCAGTTAAGCCTTGGGAACCTCAGTTTTCTCATCTTTGAAGTGAAGGAAGCAATGACCGTCATCTGTGAAGTGGGAGTTGTTGTGAAGATGATTAGCAATATTTTATTATTTTTTCTTTAAATTTTTTTTGTGAAAAAGTTGTACTAAGTGAAATCCCCACCAGCAATATCAGACTCTGTAGGATTCCCCATATGCACACCCACACTGGAAATTCTCAGTAGTTTATTGTTTGTTTGTTTGTTTTTAACGTCTTTATTGGAGTATAATTGCTTTACAATGGTGTGTTAGTATCTGCTTTATAACAAAGTGAATCAGTTATATATATACATATGTCCCCATATCTCTTCCCTCTTGCGTCTCCCTCCCTCCTACCCTCCCTATCCCACCCCTCTAGGTGGTCACAAACCACCGAGCTGATCTCCCTGTGCTATGCGGCTGCTTCCCACTAGCTATCTATTTTACATTTGGTAGTGTATACATGTCCATGCCACTCTCTCACTTTGTCACAGCTTACCCTTCCCCCTCCCCATATCCTCAAGTCCATTCTCTAGTAGGTCTGTGTCTTTATTCCCGTCTTACCCCTAGGTTCTTCATGACCTTTTTTTTTTTTTTCTTAGATTCCATATATATGTGTTAGCATACGGTATTTGTTTTTCTCTTTCTGACTTACTTCACTCTGTATGACAGGCTCTAGGTCCATCCACCTCACCACAAATAACTCAATTTCGTTCCTTTTTATGGCTGAGTAATATTCCATTGTATATATGTGCCACATCTTCTTTATCCATTCATCTGTTGATAGACACTTAGGTTGCTTCCATGTCCTGGCTATTGTAAATAGAGCTGCAATGAACATTTTGGTACATGATTCTTTTTCAATTATGGTTTTCTCAGGGTATATGCCCAGTAGTGGGATTGCTGGGTCATATGGTAGTTCTATTTGTAGTTTTTTAAGGAACCTCCATACTGTTCTCCATAGTGGCTGTACCAATTCACATTCCCACCAGCAGTGCAGGAGTGTTCCCTTTTCTCCACACCCTCTCCAGCATTTATTTTTTCTAGATTTTTTGATGATGGCCATTCTGACTGGTGTGAGATGATATCTCATTGTAGTTTTGATCTGCATTTCTCTAATGATTAACGATGTTGAGCATTATTTCATATGTTTGTTGGCAATCTGTATAACTTCTTTGGAGAAATGTCTATTTAGGTCTTCTGCCCATTTTTGGATTGAGCTGTTTGTTTTTTTTGTTATTGAGCTGCATGAGCTGCTTTAAATTTTGGAGATTAATCCTTTGTCAGTTGCTTTATTTGTAAATATTTTCTCCCATTCTGAGGGTTGTCTTTGGTCTTGTTTATGGTTTCCTTTGCTGTGCAGAAGCTTTTAAGTTTCATTAGGTCCCATTTGTTTATTTTTGTTTTTCTTTCCATTTCTCTAGGAGGTGAGTCAAAAAGGATCTTGCTGTGATTTATGTCATGGAGTGTTCTGCCTATGTTTTCCTCTAAGAGTTTGATAGTGTCTGGCCTCACATTTAGGTCTTTAGTCCATTTTGAGTTTATTTTTGTGTATGGTGTTAGGGATGTTCTAATTTCATACTTTTACATGTACCTGTCCAGTTTTCCCAGCACCACTTTACAGACAAGCAAAAGCTGCGAGAGTTCAGCACCACCAAACCAGCTTTACAACAAATGCTAAAGGAACTTCTCTAGGCAAGAAACACAAGAGAAGGAAAAGACCTACAATAACAAACCCAAAACAATTAAGTAAATGGGAATAGGAGCATAGATATCAATAATTACCTTAAATGTAAATGGATTAAATGCTCCCAGCAAAAGGCACAGACTGGCTGAATAGATACAAAAACAAGACCTGTATATATGCTGTCTACAAGAGACCCACTTCAGATCTAGGGACACATACAGACTGAAAGTGAGGGGATGGAAAAAGATATTCCCTGCAAATGGAAATCAAAAGAAAGCTGGAGGGCTTCCCTGGTGGCGCGGTGGTTGAGAGTCTGCCTGCCGATGCAGGGGACATGGGTTCGTGCCCCGGTCTGGGAAGATTCCACATGCCGCAGAGTGGCTGGGCCCGTGAGCCATGGCTGCTGAGCCTGCGTGTCCGGAGCCTGTGCTCCACAATGGGAGAGGCCACAACAGTGAGGGGCCCACGTACCGCAAAAAAAAAAAAAAAAAAGTAAGCTGGAGTAGCAATTCTCGTATCAGACAAAATAGACTTTAAAATAAAGACTATTACAAGAGGCAAAGAAGGACAGTACATAATGATCAAGGGATCGATCCAAGAAGAAGATATAACAATTGTAAATATTTATGTACCCAACATAGGAGCACCTCAATACATAAGGCAAATACTAACAGCCATAAAAGGGGAAATCGACCGTAACACAATCATAGTAGGGGACTTTAACACCCCACTTTCACCAATGGACAGATCACCCAAAATGAAATAAATAAGGAAACACAAGCTTTAAATGATGCATTAAACAAGATGGACTTAATTGATATTTATAGGACATTCCATCCAAAAACAACAGAATACACATTTTTCTCAAGTGCTCATGGAACATTCTCCAGGATAGATCATATCTTGGGTCACAAATCAAGCCTTGGTAAATTTAAGCAATATTTTAAATGGAGAGTCTTCTATGACGTTTGACGCAGAATGTATGTTTAAACAAACAAACAAATCTTGACTATCATCTACCATGCTGCGTAAGGTAAAGAGTAGACTAGAAGGCCAGCTAGAAGAACACACTGGTAGTCCTGTGGGGGGCAGGGGGGGTTGATAACAAAAACAAAAAGTTACCAAAAACATGCAAATGGATGGTGGTAATGGTAGTAAAATCCCATTAACAGAAATGGAAGGATAAGTCCAAATGAAAAATGGAAAAGGTGAGGAGGCTAAATTCTTCCTACATTTGAAAGGAAGAAAGAAATTCTAAAAGTTAAATATCTTCAATGACTATTTAATCTCTAAGGAAAACCAGTAATGTAAACAGGGCAAACTCAGCCTTTACGGGCAGAACTGAATTCCAATACTAGTTCTGACACCTACAGGGTGGAGTGTGTTAACCTGGGCAGGTTAACCATTGTCAGTCTGTTTTCTCCTCTGATAAATAACATGAAAAATACCTAACGCCATGAGAGCACTGGTCTTGAAACTAGGATCCATCCGGATCATCTCAGTCCAATGAAATATATTGTGAGCTACAAATGCAAGTTACATATATAATGTGAAATCTCTTAGAAGCCACACTGAAAAAAGGAAAAAGAAGTGGGTGAAGTTAACTTGAGTAATATATTTTTTAACTCAGTATATGCAAAATATTATTTCATCATGTAATCGATATAGAAGTTATTACTGAATTTGCAGCATCTATTGAGATCGTTGTGGTTTATTCTCTTAATATAATGTATTGTACTGATTGAGTTTCAGATGTTAAACCAATCATTCATATATATATATATATATATATATATAATATATATATATATGATTACACACATGACCAAGAGGAATTTCTTCCAGAAATGCAAGCAAGAGTGGTTTAACATCTGAGAAATATATATATATATATATATATATATATATTGCTGGATTTGGATTGCTAGTATTTTGTTGAGGATATTTACATCTGTATTTGTAGGGACTATTGATCTGTAGCTTTCTTTTCTTATCATGTCTTTGTCCTGTTTTGGTCTTAAGGTAATACTGGTCTCATAGAATGAGTTGGGAAGTGTTCCTTCCCCTTCTAAATCTTTGTAAGAGCGTCTGAAGGATTGACATTAATTCTTTTTTAAACGTGTGGTAGAATTCACTAGTGAAGCCATCTAGACCTAGACTTTTCTTTGTGCGAAGATTTAAAATTGCTAATGAAACATCTTTACTTGTTTTAAGTCTATTTGGATTTTTAATTTTTTCAGTTTCAGTTGTTTGTGTTTTTCTAGGAATTTATCCATTTCACCTAGGTTATCTAATTTGATGTCATATGATTATTCATAGTATTCCCTTACAATCCTTTTTAGTTCTGTGAGGTTAGTACTGAGGTCCCCTCTTTTATTCCTGATTTCAGTAATCTGGGTCCTTACTTTTTTTTCTTTGCCAGGCTAGTTAAAGTTTAATTTTGTTGATATTTTTCAAATCACTAACTTTTGATTTCATTGATGTTCACTATTATTTTTATTCTTTATTTTATTTATTTGTGATCTAATCTTTATTATTTTCTTCCTTCTGCTTGCTTGTTTTAGCTTATTCTTCTTTTTCTAGTTTCTTAAGGTAGAAGTTCAGGTTATCAATTTGAGATCTTTATTCCTCTTATACTTATAGGCATTATAGCTATAAGTTTCCCTGTGACTGCTGTTTGAGCTGCATCTCATGAGTTTTGGTATGTGTGGTTTTATTTTCATTTATCTCAAATTATTTTGTAATTTGCATTGTGATTTCTTCTTTGACTCAATTGTTATTTAGGAGAGTTTTATTTAATTTTCACATATCTGTGAATTTCTCAAATTTCCTTCTATTATTATGACTTTTCATTTCATTCCATTGTGGTCAAAGAACACTGTATAATTTAAATACTTTTAAATTTATTGAGGTTTGTTTTATGGCCTCCTAACATATACTCCTAACATATCCTGGAAGATGTTCCATATGCACTTGAGAAGAATGTATATTCTGCTTGTTGTTGATTGGAGTGTTCTGTAGAAGTCTGTTATATTTAGTTGGTTTACAGTGTTTACGTTTTCTGTTTCCTTGTTGATCTGCCTGGTTGTTCTACCCATTGTTGAAAGTGAGGTATTGAAGTTTTCAAATATTATTGTTGAATTGTCTATATCACTTTTTAATGTATGTATTTTACGTCATGTTTTGGGGCACTCTCTTGTTAGATGCATTATGCTTATAATTATTTTGTCTTCATGATGGACTGACCCTTTTATTATTATGTCCTTTTTTGTCACTAGTAACAAAATTTGTCTCTAAGTCTATTTTGCCTTATACTACTGTAGCCACTTCAGCTCTGTTTTGGATACTCTTTGTATGGGATATATTTTTCTATCCTTTTACTTTCAACTTATTGTGTCTTTGAATCAATTATGTCTCTTGTGATGGCATGTAGTTGGACCATGTTTGCTTCATTTGACCATTCTCTGGCTTCTGACTGCACAGAGACACACATTCTTATTAGAGGAATGATATTATCATTATTTCATAAACTGTATACTCATTGCTTTATTACAGATTTGATACTGAGAGCTAACATATTGCTTTACCTTTTTTTATAATTTATGAAAATGGATTAATTATTCATATTAGATCTATATTATTTTAACCTTGACTACTTTTTATAATCTGTCTTACAGGATTCATTTTGCAACTTATTTCTCATTGTTTTTATAATGTTTCTTGCAGTGCTTATTAACATATGTATTTGAATTGAAATAATAAAAGTGGAATTTTTCTGAAAGTGTAATTCGGCTTATTGTTTGCCATGGATATTTTTGTAAATTGACCTAAATATACAGCTCCACAGTTTTGATATAATATATATGTATAAAATCCAGGAAGAAAGTATAGTGGAAATGTGAGTTGAAATAGACAAAGAAAAGGCCTAAAATTTCCAAATATTACAAAATAGTTTTTCATATATTTTTAAATAGCTGGTCTTGAGTATTAAATTATTATAATATTCAAATTTCATTTGATACATTTAAAATGATATAGTAATTATATTTAAAGTGACAATATTAAATATATATTGAAAATTACATCCTTTGTGACAATGTAAACTTATGATAAAAAATTTAGATACCTTAAAATGTACAAGACATTTAAAACTGTTCAAAAATACATGATATTGTTTAAGTGTTCAAAATGTCTTCGGGTGATTCTTGAGGAAAAATGTTTGAAGACCAGGTCAAAGAACAAAGGCACTCTAAATTCATCACCTCTGGTTGCCTTATTTACTTCTATATTCCCAGTGCCAATCACATCTCCATGATTGAGTGACTGAATGAATGTCCTGAATGGATAACATTACAAATTACACACTTGCTGCCTAGAGAAAGGATGACCCTGGAGGTGGATTTTTCCCTCTCTAGGCTAGATAATTATTAGTTGGTAGGTAGAGAGAGCGGGGTCCTGATGGAAATGAGGAAAGGATACCTACACTCCTGACTTGATAAGACAGCCTTGGGTGAGTAACTTTACCCTTGTCAGACTCCAGCAAAATGAGAGAAAGATTGATACCTGGACTTAAGGGAACTCAATGAAGTATTATATTGAGATCCATATATAACAATCATCTTGAATTCTATAAGCATTTTCTGAGAATCTACTTTTCCATCACTGCTAGGCACTGGGCATGCAAGGAAGAAGACAGAGTATAAAGAAGTCTACTGAAGCAGGATAAGTGGTGTAAGAGAAATATTAATTTATAGGTTGAATTATTTGAAATTACTGTTATTTGGCCATTTTTGACCTACCAAAAATAAGGTAAATCATATGGTTCAATCTACACGGTATGTGTAAATCTAGGATAAAGAGCAAGAAATCCTGAGGGATTCTGGTTAATCAGGGAAAGCAATATGTAGTCATTGGCATTTGAGCTGGACATTGAAGGATGAAAAAGAAGGATGGTGGATGGATAGCTGGCAGATAGGATATCTGAGATAACAGGATCAAAACAAGAGCAAGAGTAGAGAGAATTAGAAGGTACATGTGTATTCTGGAAAGGTACATTGGGTTTCCTTTTTGTTGAGGGCTGAGAACTGTGAATAAAATAGAAACGAGCCCGAGGTTTGAGTTAAGAGTCCTGTAGGCCTAAGAAAATGCTGTTGAGTCAGCAATGGGAAGCCACTGAAGGCTTACCACAGGGAGTACTGTGAACAGATATAAGCTTTAGAATAACTCAGGTGGGTGAATGGGGAATGAGTGATGGGTAGGGAGGTTGAGACTGGAGGCCCAGAGATGCATAGGAAGCTCCTGCAACGTCAAGATGAACGCAGTAGATGTGTATATGGGTTGAGAAATGGGGCATGCTTCTCAGACAAATTTATCATGGTTTGGTCATTGATTAGGTTGAGAGATTAGTTGTAAGAGGTATAGGTTCAGGAGTGGAGGAAGGGAGTAAGCTACTTGGGGATATCCTGCAGTGAGGGTAGAGTTCTGCGCTATGGGTCTTAGCTCTGAAAGTAGATGCAGTTATCAGGGGAATTTGCCTAGGAAGAGCAGGGAAACAGAGGAAGGCAGAAGGACAGAGCAGGGGATTAGGAATGGATCTGTGCCCTGTGCTTAACCACATTTTATCTTCATCACAACACTTGTTTACCTCAGTGTCTACCCTTCGCACATCTGTGAGACCTCCAAAGGTGGGAATTAGATCTTGTCTATTCTTCAGCATTCTCAAAGCTCATACATAGTCAAGGAATAGATACTTAAAAAAGTCCTTGCTGTTTAGCACAGGGAGCTCTACTCAATATTCTATAATAACCTATATGGGAAAAGAATCTGAAAAAGAATGGTTATATGCATATGTATAACTGAATGATTTTGCTGTACACCTGAAACTAACATAACATTGTAAATCAACTATACTTTAATATAAAATAAAAATTAAATTTAAAAATGTCCTTGCTGAATCAAATCTTAACGTTTTATGGAATGTTTTCTAGGTTCTTGTCATTAAGTGCCATACAAGTGCCCTTCCATTTCATATTTCACAGATGGGGAAACAGAAGCATGCACTTATTCAAGGTCACAATTAGTGAGTGGGAGCCTGGATTTGAACTCAGGCAGTCTAACGCCAGAGGCTGCTGGCACAAAACTCCCATGCATGCTCTGGAATGAATAGTCAGAGTGACATCCGTTTGGCACTTTACAGTTTAGGGTTGCTCTCATAGTCAGTTCTAATATCCTCAAAGTAACTTGGTGAGATGGAGGGAGGGGAAAATCTTATTATTGAATAAATGAAAGTTAAGTGAATTCATGAGGAAACACAGCTAGTAAGTGGCAAAACCACGCAAAGCCACCATCTTCTGAGTTACAGCCCTGTGTTCCATTTCAGTCTTGTTTCCTGTGAGTCCAGTTGTCTGTCTTACTGCTCAAGAAGATAGAATGCATCAGCAAGTGGCTAGAGAGGCGGGCTGTGGAAGAAGCGGAAATACCTCTTGACTAGCTGGACATGTTTCCTTGAGGGATTTAGGAACTTCATTCTGGTAAGACTATAAGGTGTTTGTGGGTCAGACTTACTTGTGAAAGCTAATGTGAATGTGAATACGAATAGTCTCTTTTATTAGTAATCATGAATGCTCAATATTTAGGCACAACTCACATGTAAACAAATGATTGGTTTGTTGATTTTAGATGTAAATGAAAAGTAATCTATTGACTTATCTATTCACCATTGCTGGGGACATAAACTGGAATCTGTCCTTAGGCATAATGTCAGGGATCCCCGTCTACAGTCTAACCACCCCAGCCTCTTTAGAGGCCTCTATGGTTCATTTACTGAGGAGGATAAGATTTGCCCTCTTAATAGGAGAATGGAAAAGAGAACGATGGATATTAAATTTCTATAGGCGTTTGTCTAACCTAATCCCCTACCACACATAGACTCTTCTTTGATGGCTGGTCTCCTTAGATAGGAGAGACTCATGAAAGATTTCAAAGGAACTGAAAACGAGATTGATAATAAGCTTCATACTTGTGTTCAGCTCATTTCACTTTAGAAAAAGAAAAGTGTCGGTGCCTCTGACAGATACTACCTTGTTTGAATTTTATGAGTCCTAGGCAAGGTTGGCCTGTCATTTCTCTGCCATTATACAAGATTGGTTTTCTTGCCAAGTTTCACCATTGCTAATATAGACTCTGAAGCAGCAAATACCACAGAGGATTCGTAGATGAGACATCTTCTGTTTTGTAAGTAGACGTGTTTATTTATACAGAAGGTGAAAGTATATCCTCAGTGTGACCAATATGTTTAGTTCCTTAACTTCTAAAATAAGCACTGTTTTGATAATTATAACAGAAGCACCTACATTTTTCCTGTTTAAAGAAGGGACTAAATTAGTAGTTCTTGTCTATAGTATTAACTAACATATAATATTAACTATTAATTTATAATAAATATAAATGTGTATTTAGGACTCTCTACATGCAATGTGATATTCTAAATATTTAATCCACTTTACAACTCTATGATAAATACTATTATTGTTTTCATATTAAAGGCAAGTAAACTGAGGCACAGGACTGTTAAGCATCTGGCTTAAAACTGCAGAGCTAATGATAGAGCCAGAATCCCAGGGGTCCTGATATTAACTGTGCTAAAATGTTGTGAGTCTAATGACTTTGTCTCCACAAAACTGGAAAAGACTTCTGAGAAGTGGTGGGACATTATAAAAATCTACTAAAGACGGGAGCAAATTTAGGAAAACGGAGAGCTAGAGAACTTACAAAGTTTGTAAATGAACGCTCTCTTGTATAGCTTTGAGGGATTCTTCTCCCACTTCTCTCTGACCTTAGGGTTTCAATGAAATCTTGAGCAGGGTCTCTCGATGTAGCAGAGGCATGATGATGTCTTAGGTTTATGAGAAGCTGATGGCTTTGTGCTAGCATGGTTTTCCTGTTGGTCTTACTGAAACCAGCAACCATAGATTCCAACTGCTTCATTCGTGCTCACTGATGACGCCCCTCTTCTCAGTTAAACACCATACAAATGGATACCATTCCTTCGTTGTTCCCTTTCTCCCTTCCTTCCATTCTCTAGGTCAATGAAATTAGTTAAACGAGCCTGATTCTGTGCCAGGGGTTGATGATTAAATAAATACATATGTAAATAAAATAAGACAATTGTTCCTGACCTTTAAAAAGACTCAAATGTGGCTTTAAAAATGGCCATCTGGGGAATTCCCTCGTGATCCAGTGGTTAGGACTCAGTGCTTTCACTGCCAGGGCCCAGTTTTGATCCCTTGTCAGGGAGCTAAGATCCTGCATGCCACTCAGTGTGGCCAAATAAAAAAAAAAAAATTGAAAATGCCGTCTGTTCGTAGTATAAGTAGGTACAAAAGAGGGAATGCTTACCTCCACCTGGGGTGTTGGGAAAGGCTTCATAGAAGAGGTTAGTACTTGAACTGAGTTTTAAAAGATGTGTAGGTTGGGGGTGGGATGGTCAGAGGAAAATGAGAAGAGCATTCCAGGAAGAGGAGTCATCAGTAAGAGTAGCAAAGGATTGGGGGAGGAAACAGTAGGACTTGAAGGAAGTGAAGGGAAGATTTCCTGGATGGGGCAAGGGTGTGGGGTGAGGCCATTAGAATAAGGCTGGAGAAGTAGGCAAGGGCCAGACCAGGTATGACAAAGAAAGGAAAATCACTGAAAAATCCACCTCCAGGACCTAAACCCAACACAACACATGTATATGGTGATCTTGTTTTTAAAATTCCCTGCAGTTCATCAGATAATATTTGAACTTCAGGGCTTCAGGGATAGTGGATAGTTTTATTAACATATTTTGTGGTATTTTATACACGTCCTGGCTAGATTAACACATCATCTTCTATAAGGAGAGTAGCTAGTGTGAACTTAAGATCAGTTTGATCTTTGATATAAGGTGTAAAGAATTTTTTAAATAATCACCCCAGAGCTTTTGTATAACACCTGTTTTCAGTTCTAATTTAATGCAAAATATGTTACTAAGATTCAATATTAATGCCAGCATTATTTCATTCCAAATATTTCCATCCAAGTACTCTTTTTAAAACCGATACATAGTGCTTACTATATGCCAGGCGTTGTTCTAAGCATTTTACAAATATTAAATCATCCAATGGTCTAACAACACAATAAGAGGTAGGTACTGTCATTATCGCTATTTTACAAATGAGGAAACAGTAGTTGAGTAACTTGCCTGAAGTTGCAAAGCTGGTAAGTGGTGGAGCTGGGAGTTGAGTGCAGGCATCTTACTTCAGAGATGCTAGACCATGTCTTTGTTTTTAATTATCATTTATCTACTCTTTCAACTTACTTTTTTTCCAAACTAAATTATTAGACAGGTTTTGAAGTTCTTTTGGTCACTTGTTTAACTGGCATCACACTATATTTTATAAACATTTCAATACAAAGATTACATTTTCATATATTATATACGACATTTATTTTTAGGTTATAGTTCTTGACTCTGGCTACATGTTAGAATTATCTAGGGAGCTGTTTTTTAAAAAAAATATATTGTTGGCCTGAGACGTACCTCCAAGAGATTCTGATTTAATTGGTTTGGGTGAAGCCTGGACATAGTATTTTAAAAACTCCCCAGGTGATTCTAATGTCATACAAGGTTGAGAACCACTGATATAGATGGATCATTTATTGATTACTTTAGGCACTATGCTATGTATTTTAAACATCACTTTTAACATTTTTGTCATTTCACTTGACAACCTGATTAGATAGGTATGATAATTATTGGTGTTTTACAGATGAGGACACTGAGGAACCAGGAGGTTATATAATTTGTCCAAGATCACACAGCTAGTAAATAGCAGAGACAGGATGTATGAGGTAAAACCACATTTTCTTAATCATAATGTGGTTGAGCATCCCATAGCATAAAAATAATTAATATACTGTATCATAAATTAGTTGATCAGCATTCTGGAATCTATTTTTATTAATTAATTTATTTATTTTTGCTGTGTTGGGTCTTCGTTTCTGTGCAAGGGCTTTCTCTAGTTGTGGCAACCGGGGGCCACTCTTCATCACGATGCGCAGGCCTCTCACTATCGCAGCCTCTCTTGTTGCGGAGCACAGGCTCCAGATGCGCAGGCTCAGTAGTTGTGGCTCACGGGCCTAGTTGCTCTGCGGCAGGTGGGATCCTCCCAGAGCAGGGCTCGAACCCGTGTCCCCTGCATTGGCAGGCAGATTCTCAACCACTGTGCCACCAGGGAAGCCCTGGAATCTATTTATTTTATATGTAGGTGTTAAGATGCTGAAAATTTTAAAAATTTAACTGCCTTTCCATTCAGTTTCTTAAAAATACTTTTCAAACCAAATTATGTGTAGTTATATACTTTTCCTGTTATATACATTTTTATATTATATAATATATTGTTATATATGCCATGCATTTGTTATATTAGTAGACTTTTTATTCTTTTGTATTTCTGCATATGAATACATAAAACATTCTAAATAAGTCTCCAAATACGTAAATACCTTATTAAGACTACTGGATGTTTTCTATTACTGAGAAGAAAGTGATACAAAAGCAGTTTATTCTTAGTAGAAAAGATTTGGGTTATACTGTGTGAAGAATTTTCTAACCGTAAGCAGCATCTTCTAGCTAATATACTTTGAGCAGATTTGCTACATGCAAAGTGAAGTGTCTTCTACTTTCCATGCATTATTTCAGTAATACATTTAATGCATTCATTCATCTCAACCCATCTATATATAGAGTCTGTCATACAGAGTGAAGTAAGTCAGAAAGAGAAAAACAAATACTGTATGCTAACACATATATATGGAATCTAAGAAAAAAAAAGGTCATGAAGAACGTAGGGGTAAGACGGGAATAAAGACACAGACCTACTAGAGAATGGACTTGAGGATACGGGGAGGGGGAAGGGTAAGCTGTGACAAAGTGAGAGAGTGGCATGGACATATATACACTACCAAACGTAAGGTAGATAGCTAGTGGGAAGCAGCCGCATAGCACAGGGAGATCAGCTCGGTGGTTTGTGACCACCTAGAGGGGTGGGATAGGGAGGGTGGGAGGGAGGGAGACACAAGAGGGAAGAGATATGGGGACATATGTATATGTATAACTGATTCACTTTGTTATAAAGCAGAAACTAACACACCATTGTGGGGCAATTATACTCCAATAAAGATGTTAAAAAAAAAAAAAAAAACCTCCCATGCTCATGTATCTAGCTCAGGACTCCTTTCTGAAATATAAATTTATTTATCCAGCTGCCTACTGATAGCTTCACCCCAATGTTTCATGGATAACTCATATATAACATTTCCAAAAAGAAACTCTCAATTTTGCTCCATTTTTTCTTCCCTCAGTCTCTTTTATCTCAGTAAATGGCTCCATCATCTATCCTGTTGCTTCAGGCCAGAAACCTAGAACTCATCCTTGATTCTTTTTGCTGTCCTCCAAAATGGGCTTGATGGTTTCATCTCCAAAATGTGTCTCAAGTCCATCCACTTGTCT